ATTTTTGGTATCACCTGGCAGGACAAAGTTCCAAATAGAGTAGTCCTAGAATGAGCTCAAATTTTTAGCATGTATACATTACTGAAACAGTAATGTCTATGTTGGCTTGGGCATGTCGTGAGAATGGCTGACGGTCGGATTCCAAAAGATCTTCTGTATGGAGTATTAGTGCAGGGAAATCACCCCAGAGGGAGACCACAACTGCGATACAAGAATATCTGCAAGCGGGATCTGAAGGCCTTAGGAATGGACATCAACAGATGGGAAATCTGAGCATTCAGCCTGGAGGCAGGTGGTCCAGCATGGCCTCTCCCATTTTGAAGAAGCACTTGTTCAGCAGGCCGAGGCAAAAAGGCAGTTCCAAAATCAGCAAGGGAGCTGGACAGGAGACAGATTGTATTTGTCTTCAGTGTGGAAGGGATTGTCATTCTTGAATTGGCCTTCTCAGCCACACTAGATGCTGTTCCAAGACCTCTATTTAGAGCATGTTACCATAGTCTCTTGAGACTGAAAGATGCCTACTCTGTTACTGCCCATGAAGCAGGACTATTGAATGGAAGGGTTTTGTCACCAAGGAGGTGAAGCCAGGGAGTGGTTGTGCAAGGTGCAGCCACCTCTTGATCTTGTCAATTGCTTAGCTGATTGTTTTCTGGTGATTTGGATTGGCCTCACTAAGTTGTGGTTGTTCCTACTGAGCTATTAGAGAGAAGAACAAAGGTAGCCATTGCTGCCACTATCTGTCAATCATTTCTCCCCGATAGCTCAGCTCAGGTAGGTAAGGGCAGAGGCTTCTGCTAAACTTACTCATTCTCATGCACTTTCAGGCAGTGATGTATGGCCAAAGGAAAGGTAGTGTGTCACCAAAGGGCCAAAGTACAGGCCTTCTGCCAGAGAGAGCAACCTCTTCATATATTTTATTAACAGAGCCTCTCTTTGAATAGCTGGCTTTACTGTAGTTCTCATACATTTTAAATTCATCCTATATGAGATTCTAAAGAAAACTTTTGTTAAATACAAGTTTCAAACTAACCAGAACTAAAAGTGGTATACTTCATCTATAGAAATGCACATGAACTCTTGCTTGCTTTATCTGAACCTGAACAGGAATATGTGATGCATGCAAATGCCGAAGGCTGTCTTTCAAATGAATGGTTACATAAGAAAAGAAAAAGTTCAACATGGCAGTTTCATGTAGTAACTGCAAATGGATTGGGGTTACTGTGATTTCATATTTTCATACCAATAAGAATGCAGTGCTTTTGAAAGAGAAGACCAAGAGAGTGACAAGAATATTCTTGGTGTTCATGTAAGGTTTGTATAAGTCTTTGCAGATCATTATAGCTAGTTGAACAAGCCCTGGGACACATCTTTGTTGTGCAATCGTCAAAAGGATTTTGACTAATTACCACTAGTGACATAAAGAAAATCCCAAAATAAAACATACAGCCCACTTTCTCAAACAGTATTTGTGCTACTGTTTGTGCAGCAATGCTGCTGCTTCAGTGTTTGTTAGTCACACACATTTTGGTGGAACTATAGAGATATGTTTTTCTATGTCAAGTGGTTTGTACATTAGGGTGTAAAGCAGGGGTGAGCAAGCTTGCTGAGAAGGGAAACATTCGCAATGCAAAGGAACATTCTAGCCGAAAACAGTGACACATTTGTGTTACAAAATGGATTGAAGCAGAAATTGTCTTCAGCCTCACTATAAAAGCATTCATAATCTTCTAATGACAGGGAGGCAAACTAAGGCACCCAATCATGTTGTGTAGCTCAAGGGAGAATAATCCATATCGTATACTGTGTACATAGGCTTCCTGCAGTATTTAATCCCAGAGTTTTCAGAGAAACCGTATAGAGCTAAATAAAGTATCAGCTTTATTTACGACAAACCACAGACCCAGTTACAAGACAGAATTAAAGGACTGGTCTGGAGATTTATTTATTACATGGAAGATTAAAGAAGAATAATTAGGGCATATGTAGTAGACTCCTTGAATTACGCTTTGAAATATGCATAAGAAAGAAAAATCAAACAAAAAGTATTTTAGCACCTTTAAGACTGAAAGGTTTGTTTTAGTAGGAACCTTCATGGATTAAACTCATTTTTGTTGATTAATAAGAAGTAAATTAATTAGAGTTTGATGCAGGGTGTTAACTGCAATGTTGGTTTTGTAACCTGGTAGTGTCTTTATTGCAAATGCCTAATTGTTTGAAATATTTTATTATTTTGTCTTTTTAAGTTTTTGATCTACTAGGAGACTTCAGGATGAATCAGGTAGGAATGCAGATTTTTTTAAAAAAAGAAGACAGCTATTAACTATGAACACTGCTTGAAAAAATTGAGACAAAGACAAATACAATTTTCATTTTATTCATAAAGAAGGCAAATACAGGGTCCTTTATTGTTAAATAATCCATTTTTATTTACAGGTACAATTTTCTAATTTCACTTACTTAGAAAATTATTAATAAAATTGCACTTTCAAAAATTTATTTATAGCTATTTGTCTGCTTGGACAAAAGAAGCAAAAATACTGTCTTCTTTCTCCAGCAGAACCTCTGGCTTGTCATATTCCAAAATAACTCCTCTCTTCATTACAATAACCATATCTGCATTAAGAATAGTGTGTACTCGATGCTGAAAAACAAAACACATGATGAGAATTTTAATTACTGTATGTAACCATCTAGGAAATAATTCATGTTAGTGTTAAAATACAAGTTTAAGAAAAACATTTTTTTTCACTTTGCTGAAATGTCTCACTAAAGTTGTCACAAAAAGCAACAAAGAACAGCACTGTTATGGAGCAGGCTTTCTGGAGCATTTTGCCCAGATTTTGCTTCACCTGCTCTGTCTTAGGGTTTGTTTCCTATTTTGTTGTCATAGGCCACCAAATTGCCTCTGACCTATGATGACCCTATGAATGAATGAGTGATCTCCTGAACAGCCCTGCTCACCTCTTGTAAATTTCTTTATTGACTCAATCCATCTCATGGTTTCCCTTTTTTCCTTCTTCCCCTGCTGCCATTAATTTTTCCTAGCACTGTCTTCTCCAGTGAGCCTTGCCCTCTCACAATGTGCTTGTAGTAGGATAACCTCAAATTCATAATTTTTGCTTCCAGAGAATGTTTAGGCTTGATTTGATCTAGGATCCACTTGTCTCTCTTTCTGGCAGTCCAGAAGCAATTTTGTGGTGGTTTCTGCCTACAGAACCCTGAACAGCATGGGACTAGAATATCTGAAGGAATGTTTTCTCCTATACAATCTAGTCCGCCCACTTTGTTCAATGTAAGAAGCTACGCCACTCCTTCCACCAGGCTGTGGTAATTCTGAAAACAATTCAGGGGCATTCCGATCATGATGGCAGAACTCCCTAGAACAATTTAGTTAGTCTATTTCCTTTTAACATTTAGACAAACTATTGACAAAAAGCTGGACTAAACCTATCCTTAGCTTTTAGAAGCTCTTCCCCTTTTAGGCAGTGAAACTGCTTCTCAGACCAATTTGTTCTGAAATGTTCTTGTAATCCCCTTTTCTATGTTGACAGAGGTTGCAAGAAGCCAGTTGTTAATATTAAAATGCTGTATACTCTGAGTTTGAATATCCCCCTGTTCCAAGTGGAAGAGCAATTAGCTTTAAATGTTTATTCTCAACCACGAAAATATTGTTCTTCAAACCTACAGCCTGAAAATGCCTTTTGTTCATCTGATGCAATATTCAAGAAATATTGGCACTATTATAAAAATGGCTGAATTAAATGACTGCTATACAATTCCCCAGTTGTCACTCCCAGTTCATGTTAGCTGAGAAACCTACAAATTGCAAGCAATTCATATGGGAGCTGCTGCTGGGAAAAGCTCCAAGCAAATTCCCAAGTGAAAATCTCTTTTGGGCAGTCCTCAGGATCATTGCTGGCTTTTCTGCTTGGTTTGCAATAGGCCATTTGCCAGACATGTTCTATGATGTTACGCCTGAACACGTGTGTAACTGAGCCAATTGAAATGTTAAAGAAAGTTATATAGGATCAAACAGTGATATTTGATTAATAAAAATTTTATTTTATAATCTAAAGTAATCTCTTATCAGATGTCACTTTAGCCAAAGCAGATTGTGGGGAAGTTTTTGGATTAAAATTCCCAGCATTCCCCTGCAATCATGATGTATGGCCATAGTCCAAAAATTATTCTTTCTTAGCTCTGATCCAGAGCTTTGTATGTTTTCTATAGGTTTAAATTGGGTAAAAGGAAGAAGAAATGAAATGCTGTCACTTTAATTAGGTGTTATTTTAGAAGTAACAGTGACCAGGCTGGTTAAAGCGAAAAGTTATCTTAAGAAAACAGGGTAGCTCAGTAACACAAGCATTTTATACTTACTGCGATTGTCACCACTGTACGATCAGAAAAGGCAGTCATTACAACCTTCTGAAGAATGTTCTCCTACATATGGAGACAGAAAGATATTTCTGTTAATTCAGACACATAAATTAAAACATTGGGCAAAATCTAGCTAATACCTTAGAAATAAGTGTTGCTTCCTTTTCAGAAACATTGTGCCATTATTTTGTATGTGAAGAAGACTTGAAACATTAACTCACTGTTGCCATGTCAATTGATGCCGTGGCTTCATCCATAATGAAGATACTCGTCTTCCGTACAAATGCCCTGGCTAAGCAGAAGAGCTGCCTTTGTCCTTGGCTGAAATTTTCTCCACCTTCAGTGACTATAGCATCTGGTTTAGACATTATTTAGAGGAGACCCATGAAAATTCATGACTACATTCTTTCTTACCTCCATCACTACATCTCTTTCTGTTAAAGAGCACTGTGACATGTGAGGCACATTTGCCTCTATACTGCATCATGTTGTCCCAAATATCTATGAAACATGGAAGTAATCATCATCATAATCATTTAGAACTTGCAGAACTGGACATGGATAATTTGAGTCCAGCAGAGGGGAGAATCAAACTCCCAACTCCTGGCTCTGCAACCAAATTCCTAAATCACTGAACTGTCCAGCAGTTCATATACCCTTTGGATGTAAAGACACTCTGGGTGTTTTTACAGCCCAAAATTTCAATATAAATGTTTTTTTTTTAATATTGGTTTCTCCCACATATAAATAAGTTGTTATTACCTAGTCCCCCTGGTAAAGCTTTCACCACATGCTTCAGTTGTGCTATTTCCAAAGCTTCCCATAGCATGCTGTCTGTGCATTTCTTTTCTGGATCTAAATTAAATCTGTAAAAGGATAAAGAAAAATAACCAAATGGTGTGATGCACCTTAGCTTCCCCCCCCCACACATGCAGACACAACATGACATAAACATTCATGTTTTGATTTCAAACAAAAATATCCAAAGGGATGATAGTTCTGGCAAACCAAGCACACTTAAAAATAAGTGACTACACATCTGCTACATGCTTAGCACAGGTCCACATAACAGGAAAATGCTTGGACCAGATAAGTGAATAGACCAAAACAGTAACCAGAGAGTACACCAAAGCAGTCAAATGTTCTCTGTGCTCCTCTTATAAGTAGTCTATAGAGAGAAAGTGAAACCAGAATTTGGATGCTGTAGTTGATACAGGTCCTATGAATGTAACCATGGCCCCTGATTGTCCTGTGTTTTCAAATAAGTTTCAGTTTTTGCAGCCTGATGAATGGAAGGTTACACATGTCTGTTGGACCCTTGCCCCTCCTGGTTCATAAAAGCTGCAAGAGAGGGACAAGCCAAGTGGGTGGGAGGTTTTGGTGACAGCCTCCTTTCATCAGGATAGGATCGCTGCATGCTTAAAGAAGGCAGTAGTAAAGCCATTGTTTAAAAGCTCTTCTTGGGTCTGCCTTGGTTGCCTTGATGGATGAGTTATGCCAGGAACAAGACAGGGGGAATGTGTCCCTGTTGGTTTTGCTGAACCTCTCAGCAACTTTCAATACCATTGACCATGGTATCTTTCTGGGCCATCTCTCTGGGATTGGACCTATAAGCATTGTTTTACAGTGGCTCCAGTCCTTCCTGGAGAGGAGAACTCAGAACGTGGTGCTGGGGCACTCCTATTTGACATGTTGGCCATTGGCCTGCAGGGTCCTTCAGGGCTCAGTTTTGTCTCCTATGTTATTTAACATCTACAGGAAATGACTGAGAGAGGTTGTCTGGGGTTTTGGGATTCAATGTTACCAGTATGTGGATGAGACTCAACTCTATCTTTAATGTCCATCAAAATCCAAGGAAGCCGTTTTAGTTCTAGATCATTGTCTGGTGTCAGTATTGGGTTGGATGAGGGTGAATAAACTGAAATTTAATTCAAACAAGACAAAGGTGCTCCTGGTCAGTCGAAAGGCAAATAAAGGATTCAGCCTGTGCTGGATGAGGTTACATACCATCTAGAAACACAAATGTGTAGCTTGGGGATGCCCCTGGATTCATCTCTGAGCCTCGATGCTCAGGTTTCAGTGGTGCCCAGGAGTGCCTTTGTACAGTTCAAACTAGTGTACCAGTTGTGCCTGTTCCTGGAGAGGTCTGATCTGGCCATGGTGACACATGCCTTAGTTACTCCCAGGTGGACGACTGTAACACTCTCTACATGGGTCTGTCTTTGGAAAGTGTTCAGAAACTTCAGTGAGCTTAAAACACTGCAGCCAGATTGCTAATGGAGGCTGGTTACAAGGATCACATAACTACCCACTCCTGTTTATAGGAGCTCCACTAGACTCTGGGAGCAGCGATAGAGGCCAGACTGCCTCCATCTTTGCTATCTTTCTGCAAGCAGGCAAATACCTTTTTTGTTCAAGAAGGCTTTTTCTTAGTGACTGGTTGTCTAAGAGAACTTTTAAAACAAAATAGTTTGTATTTTTGTTGCTTTTAAACCTCTTTCAGTAATGCTTTTACCTAACATTTTAAATACAATGTTTAATTATTATTTAATATTTGAATAATGTACTGTTTTGAGCTTTCAATTTTGTGTTTTTAATGAAGTAAGCTACCTTGGGTCCTTTCACAGGATAAACATATTTTAAATACTAATAATAAAAAAAAATTTCTAGCAGCAACAAGAAACGAATTTACAAACTGCAGTCTCTGTTCAAATTGCAGAGAGATAGTGCAGATCATCATTATAACTATGTGTGTTTGCAAGGTAAATAACACTTACCGGATTGTGCCACTGAATAAAATAGGGTCTTGGAGAATGATTGACAGTCGGGATCTCAGTGTTTGTAAGGGAAGCTTGGCAATGTCTATGCCATCTATAATGATCCTCCCTGTTTTTAAAATTGAATGATTATATTCATTATTCTGCCTGCATTTCCAGCTACAGTAGATTACATTGACAATGAAGTAGATTTCACAGAGAGAGCAGTATGGTTCAAATTACTCTTTACTCCCTTGCAGTTAAATGGTGCAATATACTGTTATGCATAATTAATAACTAATAACTGAAATTTTACTGAAGTAAACTGGACTCAGACAGAAGCAAGCAGAAGAGCTTGTAGTCCAGTAGAAACCTATTAAGTTCTATTGAGTTTAGTGAGAGAAACAAGAACATTCTTTCATTTAAACACATATTTTAAAAATACCTCAATTTAGTTGGATTGTGTTCTGAGCTCTGTTTGTATTTGCTGAGAATATAGAAAGGCTTGTGCTTTCCCAACCAAAAGGGGGAAAATGGATAGAAATTCACTTTGAAAAGGATGAAAGCTGGAATTCTCATGACATGGAATGGCGCATCAAATATTGCAATTGTACAAAAAGAAGTGCCATTAGCACCACCCTCTCAAAGAGTTTCCATGTATGGAATGCACTTGGCTCCAGTGGATGTTTCTGAATTGGAAAAAAAGGAGAGGGAGGAGATGATCTCACTTAATCTACCCTAAAGCCCACTTTTATGTTGTTCTAGAGGGTCTGCCTACCATCTAGAGAAGATTTTGGAGCTGATGAAATAAGGCCTGAAGTAATTCTGTTCCAATAATAACTGTGGATCAAACCCTATACAGAAAGCTCTGCATCAAGTCTATTACATCCCATTTGTCCATCTTTGTGCCGAATCCCAATACTTTGGCTCTCAATATTTTCTGAAACCATGACATTACAAACTATGAATTATTACGAAAGCACTGATACATGTGATGCAATCAGAAAACAATTGGAGGATTATCATGATTTGTCACTGAAACTGCTAAATCATAAAATACCTTATTTCTTCATTATGAATTATATATAGCCTAATTAATATACATGTAGAATGCAAAGATTTCAGATTAATTCTTGCACTGTTAAAATAAATGGAAATATTATTACTCAGTGAGTACAGACCTGTGCAGCAGTAAAAATGTGCTAAAACGTTAATTACTATGTAGAAAGCAAAATCTGAAGCATGGTTTTAAAACACACTACTTGCTGTTTGCTATAGCAGGGTGTGTGTGGTGGCAGCAGGAGGAGGGATAGAGAATGAAAATAGCCAAGGGCAAATAGTATTTTATGTTGTCTTGAAAGTCAGTGTGGTAGGAATGGACAAAGGACAGATGGTGTCCTCATTTGGAACAAAGCCAATAACTGTGCTGCTACAAGTAAAATAAAAATGGAAACTGCTTCTCTAATATTAACAACCTATGTGCAGAAGAACAGTCTTACCTTCAAAGGTGTCAACCATTCTGAAAAAGGCAAGAGAAAAAGATGACTTCCCACTGCCTGTTCGGCCACATATTCCAATCTGCAAATCAGAAAAAGGAAACATGAAACAGGACTGGCATGGCAAATTCATTTAAAAGTAGGACACACACAAAGATTGACTAGAATGGAAAGTTAGATTTTAGATTGAGAGAGAGAGAGAGAGAGAGAGAGAGAGAGAGAGAGAGAGAGAGAGAAAGAGCGTGTGTGGGAGAGATTAATCATCAATGTTAGGTTCAAATAGTTTATTGAAAAGTTAGCTTTTTTGGACTACAGATCCCAAAATCTCTCTCTCCCCCAAGCATAGTCACTGACTATGGATTCTAGGGACTGAAGTCAACAAAGTAATGGCTTCAAGTTCTGGATTTATAAATAGTGGCTGAAATCCAATAACATAAAAGTAGACCATATAAATTTGATCACATCATCAGCTATAGCCATAATTTGTTAATACAGTTTTTCCTATCTCTTTTGCAAATTCCTAGGCTCCCTTAGGCCCTGGGGGCAGCAGAATGGGGAGGACTTGCTATACATCAGTGGGAGTGCACTAGGACTTATAGGTAGGTATGTAAAAGATTGTGGCCTAAAATAGGACACTCTGGCCTCCAGAAGAAACCATTGTTTTGCAGTAATTAAGAGATTAATGTTCTTTGCCTTAAGTATATAGGTTTGGCTAGTTGTTAGGTTCAACAACTAAAGACATTGCCTCAAAGGCATTGCATATTACCTTTTGTCCTGGAGAGATGTGGGCATTAACATGTTTCAGCACAGGCTTCAAAGAACTGTCATAGCGGACACTCAGATTCTGTATTTGAATCTCCCCCTGGTCTGGCCAGTTCTGAGGTATATGTGATGGAGCTATATTGAAAGCAAATGAAGAAGAAAAGATACCTATCTATACATATATTATTGCTATTGCTGATAAACATGGTCTTTTAAAAGTGTATTTATTTCATGGCACTTCTGGGAATAGCCAAACATTTAACAGATCCTTTCTGCAACTTATACAGCAGCACCATACTCACAGAGCAGCCCTTCATAGTTTTCAGCCTCTGTTTTTATAAGGCCGTTAAGTCTTTTAACAGCTCCAAGCTGGAGTTCCATATCAGCTAGGTTGCGAACCATCCAATTCAGGTAATTAGATACCTATTAAAAATATGATTTGTCTTTATAACTAGTATGTAAGGAGCTCATAATCCAGACACCATTATTACCTTAAATCAATGTTTGCATCCATAAGAGGAAAAATGTTCTCATTTAGAATTTAAATATCTCAACACATGTTAAGGATACTCTGACTTCTGTCGCTAGTATCAATCAAAATGTTAGTATAATCCTAACATTTTGATTGATACTAACCAATTTTCATGGTTGCCATATCTGGTCACAGTGCTGTTGGCAAGTATGCCAAATTCTGGATGACTGAATGCCTAACCTTATAATACGATGTATAGTCTGGGAGTACAAATGCAGATTGAATGACAACTCTTAACACATGGATGGCATCCCTCCTCTTTAATTGACTTACCATCAGAGCATAGGTAAGTCCCAAACCTACAAGACCTGAAGAGAGTTTATTGTAGAGAGAATTTGTGATTGAAGCAACAGCTGCGATGAGCACTACACATGCTCCAATATATTCCTAAAAGTGAAAAATTAAGAATATAAATGTTAGCATACAAAAATAGTTTTTATTCTTTATTATCACTGTATTTTTTCTGCCTTTTCCCCAAGGAAGTCAAGTCAACATACTTGCCAGTTTATCCTCACAAAAAGGTTTATTAGGCTAAGATAAAGTTATTAGTTCAAGGCTACTCTGTACTTACTTCAGGTAGATGACTTAATGATGTACAGAAATCTAAATGTAGACTTTGCCAGTCCAGCTAATGGAATGATGGATGAAGAAGTTCCTTAACATCTGAAGGACCGTAAGTTCCCTAAATTTGATCTAGTCACTAAATAAGGATTTCTTCATAGATCTCTCTAGTCTTAGTTCAACATTCTATACTAAACCACATTGCCCCTTTGCATAATGTTGAGAAGCTATCAGCAACAATTTCATAGTCAAATACTAAATCATGCAATGGAGCCTTCCTATAGTTCTATTGCTCACGATGGATTAGCCACGCTGTAAACTGGCAGAGAGACTCGTCATGCTGCCTTTTGCCAGGACTGGCTAATCTATCGTGAGCAACGGAGCAATAGGAAGGCTCTGTTGAGCTCGCGGCAGTTGCAGAATTGTGAGTGGACTGTTGGGCCGGACCCTCGTTATCTCTACCTGTTGGGAAATATTCATATTCATATATGAATACAAATACCCCCATCTCTAGTTGAGTCAAGTGTGTAGGCAACAATAATGAAATAAGAACAGCATCTTGCACAAAAGCATGATGCTCTTTGGCTCTGTAGAGTCCTTTCACCATGATGCCCTAAGTCAGACACACCAATTTATGTTTCCTGGCTGATGTAATAAAATTACATTAAGAGTTTGCATTGTGTTTTGCAAACAAGACTTTACATAGACAATTTGCAAGGTGTTCACTGAGTATGACGACTGTCCATTTTTCTGCCTGCATAGGTCCTATTCCTTCAATAGCTGTGTGATGAGCAAAATTTCAGTACATTAAAATTTTCCTAGACAGTAGCAGAAGTAATGAAAACAAACTTTATCTTCTGACTTTCCAATTGTTTTGTAGCGGTCAAAGCCTTACTGGAAAACCACTGGCCATCCTAATTATATTTATAAGATTATAGAATCCCATGACAAAAGAAATAATCTTCTATTTATATAGTCTTAAAGAAGAGTAATCCACTTGCCATTCGAACTTCCAGCCAGCGATTGGCAGCTGTAAGGAAAAGGGAAGCGATGTTGTTAGAATCCGTATATTCCAGAAGCTTCTGTTTAAATCGGGATTCATACCTTTGTAAAAGAAAAAATGAAAGGTAAACAAACAATGGAAATGTTTGCCATCTCATAAATGCCTAATAGAAACATGATGAACATTTTAATCCACTTCATTAAACAATAACATCCAGATGTCAGGATGATTTCCCATTCTGTAAGAGTGCAGAAGAATTAGTAGGTTGCTTATATTAACTAAGAACTTTTGTAGGAATTTTGGAGCAATGAAAGGAAAGAGTGGTGGTGGGGAGAGTCCTTGTATGAATACATGAATATATATGAATATATGTATCAGCTTTGACATTTGTAACCATGGAAGTAGGTTCAAAGAGCTAGTCATGTTGGTCTGTTTCAGCAAAAATAAAAACATATGTATAATGGCACCTTTAAGACTTACACATTTATTTCAGTATGAGTTTTTGTGGGTTATAATCCACTCCTTCAGACACACTGGCCACAATCCTTTTGTTTAGCATAGTAAATTGTTTGGGTTATAATCCACTCCTTCAGACACACTTTTTTTTAGCATAGTAAATTGTATTAGCTTAGACCTACCAAATCAGTGAGGATTTAGTAAGTCAATTCTTCCCTTCCATTGACCCAAATGGGCCTATTCTAACTGTGGTGTTACTTTAGCATAATAAGACATAGTTAGAGTAGGCCCATTTGAATCAGTGAAATTTGTGGAAAAGTTGACTAAATCCCCATTGATTCAATGGGATTATTATAGTGTGATTTACTACACTAAACAACAAGACTTTGGCCAATGTTCTACTTGCAATGATATTAACTGGTCTTAAAGATGCAACAATAATTTTGATGCTGTAATTTAAAAAATACACTTGTGAACTATTTCAATTGAATTCTAGTTCTTTATAGTGAACATAAGATACAAGTGAAATTGTACTGTTTATATTTAATATAAAGTATAGATAAAATAAAGCTGAAGAGCTACATATTGGGCAAAGTAACATTTAGGGATGATGAATCATAATTTT